GCAAGATGGTGTCACCCGTACTGTCTGTTTGTTGTTGATGCAATGACAATTGCAATTGTCCCATGACCAGCGATTTGTGTTAAGCTTTTCTCCGTATTATCTTTTGTCGTTACTAGCACAGCGGCCATAAAGCAGTAAAGATCTTAAATAACAAAAGTCTGTCTACTGGCTGAGGTGACGTTGCGCGAGCCTACTGTAATTCTAGGATGGTGACGAATGCATTTCTGTGAAAACTTTCCACTTCTGACAGTTACAGTGTTCACTTGTCCATGTTTTTGTTTGTTTGTTTGTTTGGGGGATTGACGTCTGGAGAAGTGCAGCACTGACCAGTACAGGGTGCCACCTGTGACCTTGTAAAAGAGAAGTTATGAAAAATTAATGTGAGAAATTTGACCACTTGTTTTTTTTTTCTTTTGCTATTCAGAATCTCCAGAGTTCATTAACTGAAGTTTACTCCATATTTTGTCTTCGTGCTCTATCTGACAAGAATCATTTTTATGGAGACCCAAGGCAAGTGCTGTGGTTATAGATAGGTAACTGAAGGGTGAGCCAAGCTGCGTTAAACTGATTTATATCTGAAATATTTTAGCCGCATGCTGATCAGGTTTTACACTGAGGCTGTAAAGCAGTCAGTGAGATCAATACTCCACTACATCTGTCATGGTTGTGCAGGGTGACAGTCTATGAGGTGAACAAAGAGTCAGGCACACTCACTGACATTGTACTGCGCATTTAAAGACACCACAAAAAGGATTAGATTTGATGTGTGGTTGCTGTACTCGCCTGTGAGTGTGTGTTTGTGTCATTTACTAAAGGAGAAAGTGCACTGTTGACCCGTCTGTCCCCGTCCCCCATGCCTGAGCAGGTCAGAAATAGCTGTGTAATGTGAGGGACAGCTGTGATTGTGTGCGTGTGTGTGTGTGTGTGTATGTGTGTGTGTGTGTGTGTGTGTGTATACACAGGCTCAAACTTGCAAAGAAAGTATAAACAGGTGCCTTGAACACACACACACACACACACACAAACACACATCCTCTGATATCCCACATTCCAGCACAAGGCTGAGCCCGCTCCTACTTTTCCTCACACCCTTCATCTGACACTCTGAAGACTCTCAAACACTTTGATTGCGAGATCAATTTACACTAACAGGCCAATAGTGAAATATTAGTGGGAGTCAACTCTCTGTCGGATAGTTATGGATTGTTGTGTATAGAGGATGAGGTCACCAAGGCAATGCATAGCTGCTCTGCCTCCCGGTCACTTTTCTAATTGGAACGACAGGCTGGGTCATATCGCTCCCAAGTTAAGATCTTAATCTCCTCTCCAGGATTGACGCAGATAGTGTTTTATACCCAGTGGACATAAATATTGACACACGTATCCAGATGTATGCGGGATGATGTGTAACATGAGGCTGTCCCTCTGTCATAGATGGCAGGTCATCTGCTGATCTTGGTGAAGACAAGTTCACGCACAGGGCGCAGGGCGAGGGATACAGCCATATGTAGGGGCTGGGTTGAGCAGGGGTGTGGCTTTGGTGCATTGTGTTCTACCACAGACCTTCAGCATCACCACCAGTTGTCTGCTTGGTAAGCTTTATAGCTAGCCCCCCCCCAACCAGTATGATGACATTACGGGCAGCTGTTGTGTGGCACTGCCAGACAGACAACTAAATTCACCAGAGAAGCTGCAAAAAGGATACGGATCACACAGCTCCACCACAGTCCTGTGCTGCGTGTGGTGGGAAAAACAGAGCTACAGCATGAGGGCGATGGCTCCATTAAGAGCCATGAAATATTCATTTGCCATACGGCACAGAGCCCTTGGCTCTATCCCCACAGCATCGTGCAACAAACCACTAAGAAAACTGCTCCTGAAAACAACAACACAGTGAAAAGCCTGCAGTGCAGAGCTAAGCAACAGCTTTAATTATTGTCCTCACACCGGGCAACACTGATTTATTTATTGCTGAATACTAGCAGAACTAAGAACAATACACAAATCTATTAATACACTGAATATAAGCATCACTAACTTAACGGCTGTTCAGTTTACACAATGCTTCCACATGACCAACTTAGCAAATGACTGGTTAATGAAAGGAGAAGTTTGCTTTTCTCACCTGCAAACAGCGTTAACAACAAACGACTGGCCACACAGACATTAACATGGATAACAATGACATCATCAGACTGACCACATGGTTCAGCAGGTTGAGTTAACTCCAAACTGTCAATAAAAACTCCATCAATGAATCCAACCAGGCCTATCCAGACTACAATCGGGTCTTAAATGTGTTTAGTGCTGCTGGTGAGGCGGTAATTACCTTAGCAGGCTAGCAGGCTGACTGTAATGACATTATCAACCTGTTAACAACCACAGAGGAGCTCAAGCTGTACCTCTAAATGCTCTGTTATCCGTCAATTTATGGTCAGTTGCAGTGTTGTTTATCTACAGTGCTATTTGTTCAGGTCTCTCGTTATTTTAGGGATGCATTTGTATTTATCATTCAGATGATGGTTTTGTTAAAAATATGTTTTATCCAGAGATCATCAAACAAAAAGAAGAAAAAAGGCCTGTAATGTTTAAAACTGTGTTAGATTATGTCAAGAAACATACCGGGGGTATTAACATGTTAGGTTTTCACCAGGGGGCAGCATCGACACATTTTTCAGACATGATGTTCATGTCACCTCATCACCTCATGCGTAGCTCCCTATGTCCCTCCTCTGAGTTTATTTACCTGATAATTTCAGAACACAAACGGGGCACTGTGGCTGCCTATAGTTAAGTATGAAGCCTTTCCCTTCATATAAGCCCTAAATGCAAACCGTTTTGGTTGCCACTATACTGTCCTTTTGTTGCATGGTGTGCTTCAACAGTAGTTTGTTCATTCCATTTGCATCAAACAAGCCTACAGTAAACAATTCAACAGGCATATCCATGTACTGTAAATACACAGGATTTGCATTGATTTTATGTTATGACTAGACACAATTTTCATAAAACATCGCCATGGCTTTCCACACCTTTTGGCATCATCACATATTTTGTTCCAGCTTGTTCCAGCACTTTATTGACACTAGGTAACCCTATATTGTATGTTGTATGTTGATTGAAATATTTAAACCAAAGATGTCATCTTGTATTACTGGTGGCACAGGATAAATTCTTGGTGTCTTTATAAAAATTTACATACAAATCAGCAGGCATGTTGGGTGTGTTTGGAAACTTGAGACTTGACAACAATTTAAAATGAAGTATTGTAGATTTTAGCATGGCTTTTCTGCTCTTTGGGTTTGAAATGGTGGACAAACAAATGTGTTTTTATTGATCTTTACAGGATTGAACATTTTTTTACCCCATTTTCAGTATTTACGCTCAGCTAAGCTCACCGGCAATTGCCTGTAGTCCATTCAGATATAAGAGTAGTATCATTCTTCTCGTCTAAATCTCAGCAAGAAAGTGAAAAAGAGTATCTGCCAAAATATGAAACTATTCCACAGACATTTTGTCAACAGTTATAATTCTGAGCTCAAATAGAGCTCAAATTGCCCACTCTATTATAAGCTATGGTTAATTTAAGCTCCTACTGTGACCATAAAAAAGGAAAAACAGAACACAATATTTCTTTATTGTCCTTCAGGCTTTTGGGGTTTGCCAACTATTTTGAATGTAACAGGACTGGAAGGTGAACAGTTAAAAGACTCAGCAATAATTTTGTACACTAGTTCTAAAACCTACTGACTAACACTGAGTTTCCTCAGAAGATAAAGTCACTGTGAGAATCTCTTTAAAAAACACACTTGTTTTCCCAGAGAAGTTCACCTGGGAGTTGCACCAAGGTATTTTGGGTAAGTTTTCTACAGTTTTGGCATAGGCCTGATCATTGAAAATTTCCATGATTTTGGCACTGTGCACCTTGGAGGGAAGTGAAGCAACCTTGCAAAAGCTCTTTTTAGTTCAGGAGAACACTCTTTTAGAAGACAGACTTTCAGACTGTCTGGACCAGTGGTCTTGTTCAGCATCAATTTAAAAAGACTTGCGGCAACATCATCCTCATTGATAACTATAGATGTCTCAACAGGGAGATAAGCACGTATACAAACAAGACTACAAATCGACAGCCATGCTAGTGGCACTGTGCCCTAAGCTAAATGCTACAGTCAGGATGCTATCATGGTCACAAATGGACTACATGTGGTGAATGGATAACATGCTGTATAATGCATTTCAATCTTAACAGATAAAGTGCTTTACAATTTTCCCTCTCATTCACTTGTTATGAAAAGGGCAATGCTAACATGTTGGTGTTAAGCAGGTATGTTGTTCACCATCTTAGTTTAGCATGGTAGCTAAAGAATTGAGACAAACTGAAATGTTGTACTGATTATGGTGTTGGGTGAAATGTCGGGGGATTAGCAGAGTTATTCACATTTATTTTGAATGGGGTCTGAGTGTGTGCAGAAAAATTCATGACAATCCATGCAATAGCTATTGGCTACTTTCATTCAAAACCACAAATGTGAACTTCATGGTGACACCAGAGGAAAAGTCAGGGGAGCACCAAAGTAGGGTTCATCCAATGGGAATCGTGAATGTCTGTACAAAATGTAGTAGTTGCTGAGATATTTCAGTCTGGACCAAAGACTAACCAACCAACCGACATTTCCATCCATAGAGCCACGCAGCTAGTATGGCTGAAATGAATCAAAGAAGCAAAATAGACTAGACTATATACTGTATAGAATATATATTGCATTTACCATTCATTTTTTGTCCATCCTGTCATGTGAATAAAGAAACATAGTTCTTTTTTTTATTTTAAAAACTACATATAAACTCTTCACTCCAGTCCATCACTATATGTGGCAGTCTGCGAGATGAGAATGCAGTCACGACATGTGTCAAGAGAAGTGGACATGCTTCATTTGCAAGGTAAATTAGACAGGAACTATATTAAGGGTTTATCTTTCACTAACAGTCGCTGTGGAGAGTGACAACGCAGAACACAGAAAATCACCACAATCAGGTAATGGAAGCTGTTGTACGGCTAGATGGCACTGAAAAATGTATATATCTATAGGTTTATGGTGAGATAACTTAATCCCATAATGTACTTGACATTGTCCTTACTCCTTAGGATAATGTCACCACTGGATGGAAAGCATCGCTCGATGTTTGCAGTGGAGATGGCAATCCTGTTCTTTGGGATATTCCTCAAGAACAGCATATGTGAGAGCTCAGGTGAGTAAGTTCAACAAAAGTTAACCTGAAACAAATCATTATTTCTCAACACAATTTAGCACCTGTTCTACAGATTGACATGTATATTATATTTGTCATTTTGTTATCTTGTTTTTTACAGGCACAAATGAGACGTGCAGACAAAAAACATTTTCTGTTTGTCAGCTGCAGAAAGCCAGACAGTACATTTTATTTTCCATCAGGTAAGCTTTATAACACCATAGAAAGATAAATGAATGAAAATTGAACTGAAACATTTTAAAGAAAAGAGTGGTTTCACATTGTATTTCAGAGGTTGTCTATCGCGATGACAATGGAATTAAACTCTGTTTCTTTTGTCAATGGAAACGACAGACATGCAGGTACAATATCCTAATTATTAGCCTGATTTGAGCCCAGTGGAAATAACCATACAGCTGTTTCTCTTGGTCATTTGATGAACGTGAGTGTATTGTGGTTTGTATATTCAGACTGTTGTAAAACTGGAGATTTCAACTGCAACTTTAACATAACTGGTAATGAAATAACTACAACCTAACTCTGACTGATGAGACTCTATCCAAGCAAGATATCGTACTGATGACTTCACCAATGCAAGACTTAAACTGTATGCCATCAAGGTTCTACAGCAACAATTCAGGTATCACTAACAGCCACCTTTACCACACAAACTCTTGAAACAAACTCTTGAAACAACTAGGTCTGGGCATAGTAGTTTCAAATATGCTGAACTCTGTTTTTTCATTGTACCACTAAGAACAAAATGTAGTAACTGGCATCACTGCAAATAAAGACTGTTCACACAGACAGTGGCTGGGTTGAAGTACATATGAGTACATATTTGCACACAAAAGCAGGGAGAGATTGCCCTCTGTTGGTCAACAGTAAGCTGTCATCTTATAAAACCTTTATTCTGTTGCAGGTTTCCTTTTGAACATTCACAACTGCTTGGATAAGGGTAAGATCACAAATTTACCACAGCTCTTATTTTCCATACCAGCACACATTTAACAGCAGTAGAAGAACTCTTCAGTAACATATCTTAAAATATAATGTTTTAATATGTTTAAGGTACGAGCGGTATTAGATTGAGCCAAAACAGCATCTGTGAAAGAGGTATTATTATTTGTTTATTAGATGAAATTATTATATCTCAGTGATCACAAAAAGCGTGGTAGTGAAAATCAATATTTCTGTTTGTTTATGTGTGTGTGTGCGTCTGTCTGTTTGTGTATCAGGAAAAAAAATCTACAACCTCACCATTTTAAATAATAAGCTAATGTTGTGTAAGCCACCACAAAACGGTTCTACTACTGGACAAGTTACAACTAGTGGACCAGTTACATCAAGTGGGCAAGTTGCAACCACTGGACAGTTACATCAGTGGGCAAGTTGCAACTACTGGACCAGTTACATCAAGTGGGCAAGTTACAACTACTGGACCAGTTACAAGTGGGCAAGTTACAACTACTGGACCAGTTACATCAAGTGGGCAAGTTACAACTACTGGACCAGTTACATCAAGTGGGCAAGTTACAACTACTGGACCAAGTTACATCAAGTGGGAAGTTACAACTACTGGACCAGTTACATCAAGTGGGCAAGTTACAACCACTGGACCAGTTACATCAAGTGGGCAAGTTACAACTACTGGACAAGTTACATCAAGTGGGCAAGTTACAACTACTGGACAAGTTACATCAAGTGGGCAAGTTACAACTACTGGACCAGTACATCAAGTGGGCAAGTTACAACCACTGGACCAGTTACATCAAGTGGGCAAGTTACAACCTGGACCAGTACATCAAGTGGGCAAGTTACAACTACTGGACACGTACATCAAGTGGGCAAGTTACAACCACTGGACCAGTAACATCAAGTGGGCAAGTTACAACTACTGGACAAGTTACATCAAGTGTGCAAGTTACAACTACTGGACCAGTTACATCAAGTGGGCAAGTTACAACCACTGGACCAGTTACATCAAGTGGGCAAGTTACAACTACTGGACAAGTTACATCAAGTGGGCAAGTTACAACTACTGGACAAGTTACATCAAGTGGGCAAGTTACAACTACTGGACCAGTTACATCAAGTGGGCAAGTTACAACTACTGGACAAGTTACATCAAGTGGGCAAGTTACAACCACTGGACCAGTTACATCAAGTGGGCAAGTTACAACTACTGGACCAGTTACATCAAGTGGGCAAGTTACAACTACTGGACTAGTTACTACTAGTCACACCACCGTGGGGAACATTAATGTCACCACTAACGGCCTAGAAAACGCAGTGTAAGTATCTAACTCAGAGGTAGCTATAATGTTGCTGTTGGTGTCAGCTACTACATTTTGATTTGGCATGATTAGTTATGATGATGACATTTGTGTTTCCATTACAGAAATATCATGAAAAATCTCTCCTCCTACCTGGAACAGACGGGCAACTCCACGGCATATATTAAAATAGGCAATATTAAAGGAGTGGTCACTAAACTTCCCCCCAGAAATCAAGAAAACATCAACATTGGCATCACAACAAGTGATGGTGTCAAAGTATGCAGTTTGCCATGACACAACATTAAATCCTGATGTTAAGTAGGGTTAAATCACCATAGCTTTCTTATATTTTTTTTTTTGTAGATTATAGAGAATAACAATGATTTGACGACAGGCTGCTCTCGATTGGTACAAATCCCAAAAGAGGCCAGTGACATGGCAGTAGGAAGAAATGGTTCATTTGTTGGAGTTGTATTTTTTTCAGGAATATATCAGGTAAAAGTAAAGACCTAATTAGCAGTCTTGACGACTTTAATACCAACATAATTACTAAATTATATCCACCTTTTCTGTGCCTGTCATAACTGTACACAGTATTCCACTCTCAGCAGAATGACTCCAACAGTTATTTTCTCAACAATGAGGCAGTGGGAATTGATATGGGAACAGAAATATCCAACCTCTCACATACCATAGACATTCAGTTCAATAATGTGGACAAGGTAAGAGGTGGAAGATAAAATATATAATAGGTTAATAATTACTGCCTATGACAAAGCAACAATTACGAGTTTTCTTTTTTAACATACATACAACATAACATTGAGTTTCTTCTTCTTTCTAACACAGAAAGGAATATTGCTTCATGTAGGTCG